AAAAAAAAAAAAGGCTCCTTTCCACCTGTTGTTGTCAGATCGTTTAGTTCACCATCTTTCATACTGTTACTTTGCTTTGCATAAAACGTTAACCAAAAAACACCTGCGCATATATTTCATACATACATTTAAAATACTATTAACTTGTAACAGTAAAATTTTCCGACCAGTGTATCTTTTCACAACTCGTACACTTCCATCTTTTTGTGTCTGTCAGATGAGCAACAAATCTACCGCTGTCTGGGGTGAAGTTCAAAAGTCGGCGCAAGAGTTTACAGTAGTCAAACTGCTTTCTGGCAAGCAGCCAAGATATTTTTAAATTTTGTTGAGTTGGTCTGAAACCAATGATGATTATTGTGTTGTTGCTGTCGCCTTGTTGAACTGTGATAAACCTGCGACTGCTCATTTCATGTCCGGTGTCTTTCCAGTTTTCATGCATATCAATGAAAGTTCAGAAACGTTGACGTCTATCACCTGTTTGTCTACGGGATTTTAGCTTGATATTGTGGTTGGTTCTGTTGTTGTTGCTGCTGCTGCGGTTTTTTTTTGCTTTGTGTCGTTCTCAACGGTTATCAGAACTTTTTTTCTTTTTTTTGAGAAGAATGTATCTCGCATAATAGAATGTTGATTTTAGATGGTTTTTTTTTTTCATTTTTTGCTTCTTTATTTTTCTTTTCATCATGTTGTAATGGAATTGTATCAGAGCATTAAATCTTTCTTCCTTTCTTTTTTTTTTTCGTTTTGTCTGCTTTGCGAAATTGGTTATCAAGCTAAAACTTGGTTGTGCTTTCTGTTTTTGCTAGAAATTTGTTAAAATATTTTTTTATCTTTCAAGGGGTTTCTAACATTTACGCATTTCCAGTTACATGATGACACAGAAAGAAACGCCAGTTATAAATTTGTTATTTCTCTTTTATTTTATTTTTTTTTTTTTTTTATTCGAAAAGAACTTTGGTTGCTCTACTGGATGCATAATTTCGAATTTCTTTCCACTCAAACTTGCTAAACCTGGCTCGAAACCTTAACATTGTTTTATCTTTAATAATTTTCCAAATAACTAAACACTGTCTATTCGTCGTCTTGTAAAGTTTGCTGTCTTGAATGAAAATTTTCACTTTATCTTTTGTTTTTCAAATGATGAAAGATAAAGTGATCTTCATAATAAATTCAGTAATTTTATGAGGTTTGTTAGTGGACATGTTTTTTTGAGTTTATGGTTATATTATTGTAATAACTTATCTTTTTTTGGTTTATTTACAAGTCTTACGTAGTCAGAAACGTAGTTCTTGCAAAACCCGAATGAACAAAAATTTATGCATATCAGGTCTCACTGTGTTTTGTTCAGTGGCGTTGATTGACCATTTCATTGTTTGGTAGACACTTTTTTTTTGAAGTACCTACTTGTTTAGGGTTAACCGTACTTCATGAAGCTGTTCCTGATATTTTTAGCACTATTTTCATTCTGCTTTGCGGATGAAAATGATGCTATTGGGTCTGCTCACATTATTGCATCAAAAACATCGCTGTCCCAATACGCTGTAGAAGGGATGGACTATGTTATGGATTATAGGTTATACAATGTTGGAGATAAGGTATTCATTATTGGCTTGTACGTTTTTAACAGTTCTATTCTACAGTTTAGCTAGTATACGTTATTTTAAAGGAATTTACGAGAAATACTATATTACTCTGTGTATGCAATCTCAAGCTATAATCCTTAACATTTGATTCGTGCCGTCAACTGGTCTTTTTGTTGTTCACTTTCTTCATACCTTTTCAAACTCAAAAAACTCAAAACATAAGCCTTAAGTTTTCAAGTAACACATTTTTTCCACTTAAAACAGTAAAGGAATCTTCAAAAGAAATGCTTCCTATCACTGAAGCTCTTTTCTACGCTTGCATTATTTAATTTTCAGATTGCTCTAAAAGTAACATTAGATGACAGGGATGCGTTCCCAACGCAATCTTTTGAAATCATCCGTGGTTTGCTACAGGTGATTTTTTTTTCAATATTTAGCTGTAATTAATTTCTGGGACACACAGTATTTTCTGTTACACCGCAGGGGACATTTTTATAAACTTTTCTTTATCTTAACTAGTTTCAGCGAGCAAGCATCAGTAGCGGTGTTTGCGGAGATTGACTTTGGAATGAATTCTTGTGCAACTATGTTGTTAAACATGTAATAGAAATTATGGTATTCAGGTACGATGGGAAAGAATTGCTCCAGGAGCGAATGTTTCACATGCTGTTGTAGTGAGGCCACGTTCCATTGGTCTATTTAATTATACAGCTGCTCAAATAACCTACTACCCTTCAGAAGATGCAAAGGAAGTTCGCGTTGGATATACCTCTGCCCCCGGAGAAGGTTAGTTTAAGATATGACTTTGGTCGTACTACGATCGGTCAGGTTCTTTTTCTTTTTCATTTTATTGTGTTATAGTAATAGTTCCTCTGTTATAGGCCATATCTACCGTAAAAAAGATTATGATCGCCGATTCTCGTCTAAATTGGGTGTTTGGGCTGTTTTCCTGTTTCTGATAGCTCCGTCTACTTTGGTTCCCTATATGTTGTGGTGCAAGAGCAAGCGAGTTTACGAGCAAGAAGTGCCTACTAAGAAGAAGCAATAAATATTTGTGCAAAGTGATAGGTTTGTTACTGTGACACAATTAACTCGTTGTGATGGTGACTCTTACTGCTTTTTCTACTCCAAATTCTATTCGGAAGACTTGAGGAAAATGAGGAGGATTTCCGACATAATCCTTCTTCTGTTTTTAAGTGACTCAAAAAGTGGTACAAAATTCAAGTTACCAAGTAAACAATTCTGGCTGCTTGAATTGATCAGTTTCTCTTGTTGGTTGTTCATTAATTTATTCAAGAAACTAGTTTTTGCATGTGACTTATAATTTAGAATTGTTGTTATGTTCTGTAAATTTGAGTTGTGAAGCATGTCGTTATTTAAATTGTATTGTTGGTTGTCTGGTTAAGAGTTTATTAATTAATTGTTACAGATTCGTTTGTGAAAAACCGCCTCATCTTCAGATTAGGAAGATAAAAAACTTAAAGACATGAGTTGGATTTGACGGGTTTTTTTTGAAAGTGCTTTATTTTCAATGCAGTATCTAATTCATTACAAGGAAAATGTAACGGTCAAGAACTGTCTTCGTATTTTACTGAGAAGGAACTATATCAGGCTCATAAAGGATGTGAACGTTTAGTATGCATTTTGAAGAAGAACGGATGTTGGTGGATTTTTATGCGGTTATTAAGTGGAAAGCAGGCTAGAGATACCGTAAGTCACATAGTGCCAAGTCAGCGTGATAGGTTTTTTTTTTTTTTTTTTTTATACGCGGCGCATCCACTGGTTAAGAGGTGATCAGTGAGATGCAGTTGGTAAGACAAGTGTAGGGATTTCGTTTACCAGCTGAGATGCCGAACAATAATAGACAGTTTCGAGACAATAAACTGCTTGCATTGATGAGGATTTAGCGAAACCTGGTAGACATAAGTTTTCTCATTGCAAAGTTAATATAGACATGCAACAGTTTTATTGAAGTGAACAGCTAATTGTCCAACTTAGTAGATGAAGTTGCAACAGAAGTTAAAATCAGGACTGAAATGAACAGGTGGTGTTAGGTGGATGATTGCGGCGATACCGAGACAAAAGCATTAGTGGAGTAGCTAGCATAAAAATCATTTCTTTTAGGTGCTTTTCGAGCTTGTAAGTGTCACATAGCAGACGAGATGACAGCTTTTTGAAGTTGAATACTGATTAGTTGTTAAAGAGCAAGTAGCTACGAGCATCAAAACATGTATATGAATTCCGTCCGTGTAGTACACAAATTAACCATTTTTACTACAGAGTGGTCGAGTTTTTTCAATTTTTTATCCTAGACACTTTCAGATATTAATGAAAGATAAATTCTGACTTCAGATCTGCAAAACTGAAGACGTTACCGCAAAAGCCGTGTTTATTAAAAATTGATACCTTTTCAAAGGTTTACCACAGTTTAAGGGACTTTTTTGAACCATGGTCGGCTTTAAAAACCTGATGATTTGGTTTAGATTCTCCACATAGTTAAGTGTCTCTGGAGCATTTTACTGCTTTTTTCTGTTCAAGAAACATAAGTTAACAGACCGGACGTAGTGGATAACTTCAAGGTTGCGATGTTAGTTTTTGTACTTCTCTCTGGAAAATTAAGTGGTTTCTTCTGTAAAATTTTTAAATTTTTTTTTGAGGAGAGAGGAAGGTCACGAATAGGAAGAGTGCTTATGGAGAATTTTTTTGTACTTGTCTTTTTTTTACTATCGTTAGAACATTCTTCTTTTTTATTTCTAATTTTCTGCGTAAAACTGCAACAAACAGAACGCTTTGTTTAGTTCTTGGAAGGTGTGATTTTGTCGTTAAAATATATGGAACATTCTACTCATTTGTGTATGAAATCGATCTTTTTACAATGAATATTTGCATCAGAGCTTTTGCTAATATGTTGGCAAATGGTAAAGCAGAAGATACTCTGTGCTTCTTGAAGTTTTTTGTACTTTTTGAATACTTAATTTACTTAGCCTTAGTGTACCGGCGACTGTACCCTACGCAGAGAGTTATGGGTACTCATGCGGACATTTGGAAATGATTTTTTTTTCTTGTGCGGTTACTGAACCATCGTTTTGCTTGTGCCTTCTAAGTTTGTTGAGTTACTTTCAGCTGTTTGCTTTTGTGGACTACACCTTTTTTTTTTTTGCCTTCTCTTTGTTTGCATTTAATATATCATTTGTTCAACCATTTTTTGTTTGAACTTGTCATTAGTTTATAAACTTTTGCAATATGAAGGGTATAATGCAAGGATTCACGTAATCAAAAAGACTGCAATTAAAAATTTAGCTCTTTAATGTATTCTTTTTTATTATATTACTTTTTTTCTGATGTTTAACAAACTATAGCTTTCACATAAATGTCAATAACCTACCGCGTCAAAAGGTTGCTTTTGGGTGCTAGTAACTGAAGAATCGAGGACTCAGTATTTGCCAAGAGACTTTTAGGAAGTAATTGATATGTCATATTTAGTCCGCAGAAAACTCCAAGCAAACTGATCAAATATTGGTTTTTGTTCTGGTCGCATATGACTTTTTTTGAAAGTCATCAACAAAATTTACACATAAATAGCTAAGTTATTATTTTGACTAAACTAATGCAGACTTTTTTAGGCGGGTCGAATTCAAGTGACTATAGGCGAAATGTTAAGAGCAAGACTGCGTCAAAAGTTAATCTAGCTTTTTTACAGCGGGTGTTTCTGAGAGGGTTCAAGTCCAATTCAGGTTTATGTCGAATGGCTTCATTCCTTTTTCTTTTCCTCTACAAGGCTGTTCAGTCTTTTGCGTATGTTTAGGCCTCTTCTTCAGATTTCTTTTGTTCTTTGAGATTCTTAGTTTCGTCGATTACTTGGTTTAATTGTCCAATTTCCTTTGATTGACTTTTTTTTGAGAGAGAATTATACCTTATATTGTCGGCGACTTAAGCAGACAACCGCTAGAGAGTCTTCGCATTGAATTTTATACTTGGGCTTACAGTTACCTGAAGTATTTTTTTTTTTCGTTCAATGGAAGTCATGCCCAATTGCGATGCTGCGACCAAAAATTATTGAACTAAATTCAGTAACTAAAGATACAGCTTTGGTTGGTACGGCAAACGGCACTGAATGCTTGTCTGCGGGAAGACACCCTATCAAGGTTCCATAATGCAGAGAGAGACCGCTTTTTACATTTGTCAGCATTCAGTCTTTGTTATGTAAGGCTCTTATTTGACGATCGTGGCGCCTGAAAGAGTTTATTACTAAAAGAATGCCATTTGGAGAAGCAAGAACTTGACATGATTATAACTTGTTGTAGAGCTGCAACAGTTTTGGTGTGCTCACAACGTCTATTTTAGGAAGATCTTGTAGCCGCTGAAATGCTTTAAAAATAAGTTCTTCAGCAATGCTTATCTCTTAGCAATATGGCAAGGACTCCTCTGAGTTACTCGCCAAATTTTGCATATTGCAGCTGATCGACAATCTTTTAAACTAGAAAGCAATTAAGAGAACCATTCTTGTGAAATCTTTCTTGAAATCTTTGTTCTATACGATTTTTACTGGCCACGTAACGGGCTCTTGGCTCTTACAGTGCTGACCACCGGCTTGGCGGATTATATGACTTAAGCTCCTACGAAAGGTTTAGTCTTTGTATAGTGCCGTTTTTGAAAAACGCATCAACAAGTGTAACAAGGTTGAGCTTACGCCGTAGTCAACAATAAACGATGGGATCTTAAAAAATTCTCATGAGTATCACTTTCAAAAACTTTATTTACACTGTGCGCTCTCTATAAAAAAATGTATTGAAAAATCATAATTTTAGGTCAAAAAGTTTTGTAATAAATTGTAAAAATCGTTTCCTACTTCTCGATGAGAGGCTATTTTGGCTGTTTTTTTATGTTGGGAGATCTAACTGAATTTACTGTGAAAAAAATGAATTATTTCATAGACAAAAATCCTGAACTTGTTCTGAGTCGCCTAAGGATATGCATTAGAGGTTTTCATTCTAGTAATTTTTGCTTCAATTTTTTCAAAGTAACAAGAATGATATTTGCAAATGAAAACTTTTCATCCGCTGTCAAATAGGAATATTTGGGAAAGTTTATGTATACGAAATATCATTTAATGTGTCGTACTCTAAATAAATTACGTCAATACGTTGATGCTATAAGCCTTAATCTGCAGGCAGTTTTGGTCTACCGTCACTAAATTCCTGTATAACACATCCAGAAAGAAAAAATACCTCATCATCGTTTTGGTCAAATAAAAACGACAGCTTCCCATCACACATATCACGTGTACATTTGTCTATGCTACTTGCTTCACATGCATTCAGTTTAACAGTTAGTTGTTTTATAATTAATGAGAATATTTTAAATGCGGAAGTTTAGTTTAAAAAACGGGAAACTTTTTATCTATCATCATTCCATCGAAGCCGACAAAGCCGCACTTGCTGCTGGAATTTTAAAATTCTATAAATATGGCCATATTGTTTTATTTAATAAAAATATAAGCATTTTGTTGGCATGAAGACAAGTTGGATTTTTTAAATTGGTTGTAATTTCTGTTCCACAGTTATCTAGACTAGCCACTGCCATCGTAATAACATTAAAGGTCGTTCAGGATAAAGTAATTCTGGGGTGAAGAAGTGGACAAAAATTCACAGTTATTTTCTCAATGTAGAAAAAACAGTATAGGATTTAGTAACTAACCGTCAGTTTCTAATGCGTTTCCGGTTTTCTATTACTGACTTCACAATGTCAACAAAATCTTTTTATGCAACCTCTGTCTTTGTGATGTTGTTTGTTCAATAAGGTCTGCAGTTTTTGAAAAGTGCAACATATTTTGGATTAATGCTAATTTCAGCTGAGCCATCAAACAGAACTGTTCAGTGTTCAGTCCAAAGACTTCAGTTTTCCCACAATTTAATATCATTTACTGCGTATGAGGTTCAATCCCATTTTAATCATTAATCGCAGCTTCAGACTTTTCTACCACTTCATCTACTTTCTGGAGCCTGTCTAGTGTTTTAAATGTGATTTTTAACTGATTGACTTTTATGTTGACTTATTTAGCTCATTCTTATTTGATTTCCCTACATGACTGTTTTAGAAACTGATAAACGGTAATTTAATGCGTAATGGTTGTTTGCAGCAAAAGCTTCCGAAACCATCACTGCTAAACTTTTCGGCCGCTCGTAATACCATATTTTATCGGAAGCGAGTTATTGTAAAAGTGAATAAAAGTGGAGGTAGCATTTTTTTTATTACTGAATTTTTTAAAAATAAAGGAAAATATAACACAGGTAATTAATTGAAGTGAAGAACTTTGAATATAACAGATGAGGGTAAGTTATCGAAAAGAAAAAAGTCAAGGCAACCGAGGGACTTGCTGAAGTGTAACGATGCACTTACGTGAGTGTCATGCCTGTGTCTACCGACAAAGGCAAACAATAATAAGTATTACACTTTTCCCTATCAACCAAAACATTAACGAAAAAACGGTAATTCTTCATTTCACTTAT